GTGTCTCCCCCTTTGAGAGAGTATTTGTAGAGGGATCTGAGAGTTTGTGAGAGGGTTTTATTTGTGAGAGTGTAAACCCAATTGTATCTCTCCCTCTAATAGTAGATCTCCCCCTCCTTGCCCCGTGGACGTAGGCTATTTGCCGAACCACGTAAAAGTTGTGTTCTTGCTGTGATTTGTAATAGCTTGTAGGATCCCTCGACGCGCAGTCCTAGAGCTGACGAGAGGAAGAGCTGATATCTCACTTTGATGAGATATCTGGCTTTTTGATTCTTGTTTCCTTTGAGAAACGAGAATTTCATTTGTATCTAATCTCTTGTTGTGCACCTTGCGCACCGGAGGTGCTGCCGAAATTTCCGCTGCGCACAACATCTTTCCCTTGATATGACAAATGTGCCATGGTACAACATTGTTTCGGAGGAATCAAATGTACCTAAACATTCCTTTATGAGTTGGTTGGTGATTCAGGACAGACTCCTCACGCAGGACATACTGCTCAGAAGAGGAATAATTGACACAAATACATGTTATCGTTGCTCCGGTGCATGTTTGGAAACCAGATATCACCTATTTTTTGAACGCCCATATTCAAGCAAAGTTTGGAATAACATCATGGAGTGGATGAAGTTCAATTGGAAATCATGCCAATGGAGACATATAGTGATCTGGTATTCAAATAGATTAAGAGGAAAGGGATTCAAGCAAAAAATCAAGAGGATGACCTGAACAACTACAATTTATTCCATATGGAGAGAAAGGAATGTCAGATACTTTCAGCAAAAATTTAAATCTGCTGATCATTTGACGAGGGAGATTCAGCTTGATATCATGACTTTAGTGATGAACAATCCATTATCAGTCTTGTGGGTTCAAGCAGGTTTATGAAGGAGATGTGGTTTTTTGTATAGCAATATATATTTTGCTTTCTCAGTCGACTCAACTGAGCATTTAGGTGTACATAACTCTTCCATTTTGGTTGTGAAATAAAATTCTTTCATTGACAAAAAAAAAATGTTAGATCAATGTCAGAACCCGTAGAGCTAAATTATTATTCTATTATTATTATTTTTATACATAACGGTATAGTTAAACAAGGGATGACGGTTTTCTTTGTTAAATAATTTGTACGGCATGTCATTAGAGTTGTCTTAATTATTCACGTATCTTTGTTTTTGAAGAAAAAAACATCTAAGTTAAATTTCCATATCATGAAATTTCTTGGAAACATTTTTTTTTTCTTTTGGTAACATGTTGGCTGTTAATTTAATCCTTTCAAGAATGTTAGATCAATGCCAGCATCACACTTTAGATATTTTATTTTGTACTAATATAAAAGTGGATTGTGATGTTAAAACATATTCTTTTTTCTAAAAGTATTCTCCAACGCATCCATACTTACATATAAGAACACATGCATACTCAATACAAATGTGATACTTGTGAACGTGGCTTCTTGGGGGGACCACATGTGTGTGAACGCGGGTGAACGCGGGTGCAAATGTCCTCAAATTAGTGTGAACACGGAAGAAACACGGAAGCTCACACCTGACTTACCAAGGCCCACACGAATTCATATATATATATATATATAAGTTATTTTGTGAGGGATTTGAGAGTTTGTTTGAGGGTTTAGGTTGTGAGTGATTGTAAATCCTAGTTGTATTCTCTCCCTCTATTAGTAGATCTCCCCCCTCCTTGCCCCGTGGACGTAGGCAATTTGCCGAACCACGTAAAAATTGGTTGTACTGCTTTTGTGTGATTTGTAATAGCTTTTAGGATCCCTCGACAAGTCAGTCCTAGAACTGATGAGAGGAAGAGCCGATATCTATCCGCTTCAAATTCTTGTCTCCTTGGTGAGACGTGAATTCTTATTTCGATCTGACTCTCTTGTTGTACTGCCGAAGTGCTGCCGAAATTTCCGCTGCGCGCAACAAGTGGTATCAGAGCCCAGATTTCAGATCTAGGGTTTTTTGGTGGAGGAAGATTTTTTTTGTGTGTGAAGCTTGGTTCTTTGAGTTCTAGGCTTCGGTGGAGATAGCATTAGGAGTTGCCGTTGGAGATTTCGCTTTCCTCGTGCGGATAGGAGATCTATTGTGAATCCGATCTAGGGTTCAGTTGGGTGGTTCCTAATTTCTATCAAATTTGTTCTTTCTCTACAATTTTGGTTCCTAATTTCTATCAAATTTGTTCTTTCTCTACAATTTTGGAGTTAGTTCGCAATGGGAGAAGAAGGTGAAAGCAGCAAATAATTTTGGAGTTAGTTCGCAATGGGAGAAGAAGGTGAAAGCAGCAAATCGATGGCGAGTACAATACAAGTAGGTTTTCAGAACACTAAGATTAGTGTGGTGAATAGGCCTGTCCATCCGGGCCGGCCCGGTCCGGCCCAGAAATCCGGGCCCGGGCCGGGCAAAACTGGAGCCCGGACCCCGACCCGGGTACCCCGGGCTGGGTCCGGGCCCGGGCCCGGGCCCGACCGGGCCGGGGTCCAGGCCGACCCGGGTTTTTAAATTTTTTTTTAATTTTTTTTTTAAAATTTTCAAATTTTATTTAAGTTTTAAATTATAAAAAAAGATAAAAAAATAATAAAAAAATAATAATTTTATTAATCACTTAAAATGACATAAATTATAACTAAAAAATTATAAAAATAAATTCTTTATTAATAATTAATAATTATTTACAAATTACAAGTATAAATTTATTTTGGAATTCATCGCATCACAATAGATAAGTACATCCC